GGAAGGAAGGAAGGAAGGAAGGAAGGAAGGAAGGAAGGAAGGAAGGAAGGAAGGAAGGAAGGAAGGAAGGAAGGAAGGAAGGAAGGAAGGAAGGAAGGAATATTAGGAGGGAGGAAGGGTCATAGAGATATGAAGTAAAAGCACCCTAATACAGTATTTTAATATTCTGAAGGAATGTGTTAATATAACTATTAATTTTAAGGATTTTTTATGAGGTGGATAGCATTGTCCCTGGATTAAATTAATGGGTCTATGGAAGGACAATAATTACAACAGACACAAAGCCTGTATTTACCAGCTATTTTCAAAACAAAAAATCTGAAAGAACCACCTGCAAAGGTAGTTCATGGTCATGTTGTCATCTACCCTCAAATGAGGCACCGCAGCTAAATCCTCACAGATTTATCATATAAGAGGACAACATCCACAGATTAGATATTTCTTGTTGACTAAATACAGAAAGGCTACTGACTATAGAGGAAATAAAAAAAATAAACAGGAACTGAATTTTACTTACTGTAGTCAAAGGGTTTGGTGTAGGTATAGGAAGCAATCCTGCACCAGGCATCAGGCTTGTCATAATAGGAGCAGGCGCCAATAGAGAAAGGGCTTTGGCTTCATCTGGGATTTTACCTGAAGAAACCAATGAAAGCGTTACACAGAGTTGAAACACTACACAGATGTTAATTCTTTCTATGATTTTACAATCAGTTTTTATTTAAACATTGTTTTAAAAGTTAGGGTATATACAAATGCCGTGCTAGTGGCTTTTATTGCTGTGTTTCAAACTGTGTATGTTTCAACTATAAAATCCCTAACTTCAAGATTTAAACATTAATATATAAATATTGTTAGCAAAAAAGAAAAATGTGAGGTAAGTTTCAAAACACTATGCGATTTTAGATATATGAATTCCAATGGACCCCACAGGAAAAGGAACTTGTTGCAATCCTATTCTACAGATCCGCAACAAGGACTGGATTACAGTTGGACATGACCAAAGGACAAAACAAATCTAAAAAGACAAAATAACAGTACTCTTTTTTTCCCACATGACTCCTATTTACATTTCATTTATGTTGTTTTGAGGCACCTTGCTCCTTAACACATAAAAAACCACCTGATTTTGCTATCTAAAGGAGGAAAACAGGAAATTATCAATTAAGAATTAACTATGCAATTATGTCTTCCAGGGCTTTTTTTAAAACATGCATGAATGAGTCATAGTCACAATGATCAGCACTCTTTACAGCTCTCCTTTTGAAGTCAGACATGCAATGAGAAGTATACCTGATTCTCCTGACTGCTCATGAGAATCAGGAACTTTGCTGCACATCCTGCCTATTGTGTAGCTAACACGCTTCCAAATATACAGTTCCAGCAACTGTAAGTGCAAATTAGATATATAATTATATACCAGTTCTTCTGGAAATCAAAATATTTAGGTGTTTTCTAATGATTGATGAACCAGACCTTATCCTTGAACAACCAGCATCTTGCACTTAACTGGATACTCATACAGGTTTTACAGGATCAACAGACAAAGTAAATGCAATGGCAGAAATGGTATGGAGAGTTATCTCCATATTCATGTCAAGCTTTTCATCAACCATCACCCCCAAGTCCTTCTCCAGACTGTTTTCAATCCATTCTCCCCCAGCCTGTATTTGTGCTTGGGATTGCCCTGACCCAGGTGCAGAACCTCACACTTGGCCTTGTTGAACTTCATGTGGTTGGCATGGGCCCACCTCTCAAGCCTGTCAAGGCCCCTCTGGATGGCATCCTTCCCCTCCAGCGTGTCAACCTCACCACACAGCTTGGCGTCATCAGCAAACTTGCTGAGGGTGCACTCAATCCCACTGTCCATGTCATCGACAAAGATGTTAAACAGCCTCAGTCCCAGTACCAACCCCTGAGGAACACCACTTGTCATTGATCTCCTCTTGGACATTGAGCCATCAGCTGCAACTCTTTGAGTGCGACCATCCAGCCAATTCCTTATCCACTGAGTGGTCCATCCATCAAATCCATGTCTTTCCAATTTAGAGACAAGGATGTTGTGTGGGATAGATAATTATTTTCTAATAAGGGAAACAAAGAAAATATGCCACATCTATATCACATCCTTATGTCTTAGAAGCTTATGAGTGTTTTGTAAATTACAGACTCTAAGATAATTTATTTATCTATTCTTTGCTTTGCAAAGGAATCTGGAAGCAAATATAGACTTGCTCTGCATTGCCTAGAGATACCTAATGCTTCTTCAGAAATGCAATTGTCCTAAATATCAGTTATGATTGTTACTTTTTTGTATCATCAAAGTGCTTAAGAACCCTAGTCAATCTAGTCCATACCATGGACATGGTTAATCCTCCCCTCCCCCCAAACCTGCTTCAGCAATAAGTACATTTGTTTTAAAAATACTTTCTGTTCACATCTACTCGTAAGATAATTAAAGGAATTGTTATTTTCCTACTATTTTAAATCAATGGAAAATGCACACTTACAAATAAAATAATTTCTGTGTGATCCGATTCATGATTCTTATTGGATTTAGCAGCAGAGATTAAAGACTTACAGCTACTGGTAATTACCTCAGCTGGTACAGCTAAATCCAACACAGGTCATGAAGCAAAGCTCTTCCTAGCTGCAGTTCACAGCCTGGTGCATTACCAATGAAACCAATTGGTCCCAATGCAGCTGGCTGGGAAGGGCAATTCCTGAGGACTAGACAGACCACCTGGTCCAGTACTTCTGTTTCAGGACTTCAGTTTCACAAGAAAGAACAAACATCATTTAGGGATGAGAACCTTCTCAATCACTCCAGCATGAACTACCAGGGCTTCTAAGACTATGAGATGACACTTTTTTTTTTCTTAAAACACTTTTTGAAGTAATCACCACCGGAACATGTAAAAGTGCAATAGACATATATACACACACACAGAACTTTTCAGTCTTCCCACAAATAACAGTGTTAAAAGACAATGTGCCTCACATAACACATTCCAACCAAAATCTCAGGCTGCATTTTTACTTATGAGTGGTAAACAGATTTTTCTAAAAATTAAAAAAACAAAAGGATGAAATCTTACTGCCACTGACTTCACTGGAGCAAGGTTTCAACAGAAACAGATTACATTACATTTGGTATTCATGAGAGTTCAATATCAGAAGCATAACATACAAAATAATGCATCTTAAAACTGATATATTTTTCACTATTTCAGTCTGACGCAATGTGCTCATCTGTTGAATTTAGATGCCTAAATGCATTCCAAACCAAAACAAAAAAAGGGAATATAAAAGAAACAAAGGAAAGCAAAATAAAATAAAAACATTCCAGTTGCTCTCTCACATAAGGAGCCGTTCCACCACCTCGCCTTGCTGGCCTATCTTCCTAAAAAGGATGTAACCATCCATGACAGCATTCCAGTCATGTGAGCTATCCCACCATGTCTCAGTGATTGCAATCAGATCATGGCTGTGTGACTGCACACAGATCTTTAGTTCTTCCTGTTTATTCCCCATGCTGTGTGCATTAGTGTATAAGCATTCCAGAGAGGAAAAAATACTTGCATGGTGCTCCACTTGGGCTGAGCCACAACACCCAGGCACCTCTCTAGCAAGCCCAGTTATATCCCCATCCCCCTTCAAATCTGGTTTAAAGGTCTCTGGATGAGCCCCGGTAACTCTTGTCGCCCCCAAGTTCCTTTCCAGTGGGCCTGGTTTTATCCCCTATCCCATTCAAACCTAGTTTAAAGCCCTCTCAATGAGCCCTGCTAACTCCAAGTTAACAAAAATTAGTTCCCCTGCTGAGCACAGTTTTCAGATACTGTGAATGCAAATGATAAATCATCCCTGCGTTAACAATATGACTGTTCATGAGGACAAGCAATCCTATGTGAAAACAAAAAGTGGCATGGAATACCTTGGTCTTTCCAAGTTAACCTGATATTATCGCTAGTACAAGTAAGGTGAAGGTAAAATGAAATAATTTATTTACTGAATCTAAGTGCCACAATCCAATTATTAAAAGTATAAAAACAGGTGAAAAAAACTTAAAACAAGCCCCCACATGTATTAATCCAGCACTTGGATCACAGCTAAAGTTTTCTGTTGGCCTTCAGCATACTGTAAGAAGATGTTAAGGCAGGTCTGTTAACTGCTGATTAGAGACAGAGTGATGTTAGGGCACAGTTTGTATATTGATTCCCCTCCTGCATGTTTACCCATTATATTTTTTTTTTCCTCAATAGCTGTTTTTTATTAAAGGAGAGGGAGAGGCTCTTAAATACTTTTACATTTTGAACAGTTTGGCTAAAACAAATTGCTTGTTTCTAGCATTTTAATGGCACCGTATGTGAACCAAGACATTTGGGATTGTTTCTATTTTTTAAATCCAAATTAATTTTTTTTCATATTATTTTCCAAGCTAATTTTGTTCTGTAGTAGAGACTGACAAATATAAAATTTAAACAGTGTTCTGCTTCTGTTTTGTTTTTGGGAAGGAGACCAGTAGCTCAGAATTTCATATTTTCTATTGAAGACTTTACCTGACGTCCTGGTTTGAGTCAGGATGAAGCCACTTTTCCTTTTACTATTTTTTTTTCCTTCAGTAAGCTTTCTTTTAACTAGTAGCTAAGTGTTCCAGCTTGGAATGATAATACACACTGGAATGTTTTTGTAACTGCTGGAACTCCAAGGTCATATCTTTGCCCTGCCGGCTCAGGCACTACGGGGGGATCTATGACCCCGCCGTAGGAGGCTGAATTAGACAGACAGCAAAATTGGCCAGAGATATTCCATTCCATATATCTATGTAAGCACAGAGGAAGGTCAGAGATCACAGAAGGCAAATTCCTTTCATCGTATTCTTCCTCTCTCTTCCGTCCATGGCTGGTATCCAGGGAAGACTCCATCCATCCATCACTGTCGACCCCTAGGCACGAGCTCTCCTGACCCTCATAACTCTGTGCTCTCTGGGAGCAGTCTGGGACTTTTCGGGACTGTTCGCAGTGAAGGAGAGTGCTGTGGGAGTTGCTGGGAGTGGGGGGAGGCAATAGGGGTTTGCACATTTGTATATAATTGTATATATTTTTTGTTAGTATTAGCATTTAATTAAAGCTGTATAGTTTAGTTTTCAATCCAGAGCGTCTTTCTCCTCATTCCGTTCCTCCTTCCCTACCTGGGTGGGAGTGGGAGGGGACTGAGAGCATTGTTGTCAATCCTGAGTCAAACAGTGACAACAATTTATTGGGGTGCAACGTGGGGCTCGATTTTAAGCCCAGATTAGAAATTTTCATTAATTGGGAGTGTTCAAAATTCCATCTCTGATGGGAGGAATCCCTCAGATAGCAATGGGCAACAGTTCTGCTGAATTTCATGACGGATTGAAAACTGGACAGACGCCTTCTGCAACCTATCTGTTGGACCTTTTTCCCAACATGAAATTGTATATGTGGTATGCAGCTAAGAGTATACTGCTTTGTGTAGCTGCTCTTGTTATTATTTCATGGTTTATCAACAGAACTGTAGCCATAATCAACCAAATAGTTACCAGTCTAGTGATCCTAGCGGTTATGATACTGATCGTTAAGGGGGCACTCTATGTGTACAGTTACAGTACAACT